AGCCCAGACTGGTCTCAAACTCGAAACAATCCTCCTGCCTCAACCTCCCGAGCGCCGGGATTACAGGTGTGAGCCACCACAACCAGTATAGCTCACACTTTGTTGCAACTCCAGCACTGTAGGTGACAGCAGGACCAGAGTGGGTAAGTTCGGGATTCGAATTCTGCTCCATTCCTGCAGGGTAAGCTCAGCTTTCTCTGTTGAAGGCCTGCCCTGCACTTGGAAAAGAGTAACAGCCAGACCTCGGGAGACTAAGACAAAGGGATAGCCTGGGCTACATAGTGGGTTCCCAAACACTGTAAACTACATAGCAAGACCCTGTCACAAAAAAAAGGAAAGAAAAAAAGAAGAAAGGAGAAAAAAAAAAAAGGAAGAAGAGGAGAGGGAGGCCAGGACAGGGCCCCTCCCAGCCCTGCCTGACCCCTGCTCACCGATCAGCAGCTGCACAATGCTGGAGCCTGCATACTTTCTCACGTCCTCAATCCAATGGGGCACTGACAGGAAGGTGCTCCTCTTGGTGATGTCGTAGGCAAGGATGGCTCCATTGGCACTGCGGTAGTAGCTCTGGGTGATGGTGCGGAACCGCTCCTGGCCAGCTGTGTCCCAGATCTGCAGCTAAAGAAACAGAGCCCACTGTGAGGTGTGGCCCCCCAGCATGCTAGCACCAGCGGAGGAGGAGGAGGAGCAGGAGGAAGAGGAGGAGGAGGAGGAGGAGGAAGAGGAAGAGGAGGAGGAGGAGGAAGAAGAGGAGCAGGGTGCCCTGCAGCTCTGCGCAGACCATAGACTGCTACATCTGCAAAGAGCCTGGCCTCCTGCCAGGGCTGGTAGGAGATACCTGTCATCCCAGCACTCAGGAGAGTTGCCACAAGTTCAAGGCCAGCCTGGACTACATAGTGAGTTCAAGGCTGGTGTGGACTACATAAGACCATCTCAAAAAAAAAACCCTACCCCAGCCCCCTGTCCAGGCCTGCCCTGCACATGGCTGCTTCAAAGGAAGCTGGGATAGCTTCTCCCACAGCCGTGCCAGCAGCGGCTCTACAGAAGGCACTGGTGGGCATTGTGAAGTCACCAAGCCCCTTGTTTTGGCCAACATGGTCACGTGATGGACAAAAGTGGGCTTGTACTTAAAGGTTCCCCAGGACTCTGCCATCCCCCAGAAGATGCTTGCTACCCTAGTGCAGGCTCTGGACCATCAAGCCATGGGGACCATCAAGCTCCCACGCTGGAGGGGCCCAGTGCCTTTAGAGGGCAGGGACCCAGATGTTCATGCTTGCAGCACCTGTGAAGGCAGCTGTCACTGCAGCTGTGTGGGCACACTGGAGATTGGGCTAGGCCACAATGTATCCTTTGCTCATCCCCTTTTCCTGGAGAACCCTAAAGCTCCAAAACAGGGCTGCCCACATTCCCTTCGCTTCCTCCTTTCTCCCTCAAGGTTGGGCCCAGCAGGCAGGTCCTTGTGTGCCACCTTCTAGGCCAATGAGACTGTGTCTAAGTTGCTCAAGCTGGACTCAAACTTGTGATCCTTCTGCTTCAGCCTCCCAAGAATTACAGGCATGCACCACCACATCAAATTTGTATTATATTCATAATGCAAATAACATGTTATATTTAAATATTTTAAATATATTAACATATGTTCAATATTTAGATAATTTATTCTACTAGTAATTTAGCCAAATGTGGTGCACACCTGTAATCCCAGCACTCGGAAGGCTGAGGCAGGAGGATCGTTGAGAGTTCGAGACTAGCCTGGGCTACAAAGTGAGCTTAAGGCCAGCCTGAACTGCATGGTGAGACCCTGTCTCAAAAAGAACAATATAAAAATTTAATACATAAGAAATATTATTAAACAATAAATACAAAGAATAAGTATATAGTGCCTGCCTGGCAAGGGCAAGATCCCAAGTTCAATTCCTGGTACCAAAAAAAAAAAAAACCTTAGGCATGGTGGTGGTTGCCTATAATCCCAGCACTCTGGGAGACTGAGGCAGGAGTACCACAAGTTTGAGCCCAGCCTGGGAAACTTAAGAATAAGTACATCAGATAATAGTAAAAAGGAAAAAACAAGCAGGGGCACCAGAATTGATTGAAAGAGTTACAGTCATTATACTGCGGTAATTACATGTATACCCATGTTTAGAGCAGCACAAATTCACAATAGCTAAATCTTGGAAGTGGCTTAGATGTCCATCAACAGATTTATGGATAGAGAATGTGGTATTTACACACAATGGAATACTACTCTGCCATAAAGAAGGAGAAACTAGAGTTTGAAAATAAGGCTTTGAGGGACTAAATATGGACATAATCCACATCACCAACCCACTTTACTGGGAAGATGCAATACGAGGATAAGGGGCAGCCCTTGCAGAAAGCTCTTTACATCTTCATCTTCCGAAGCAAGAAGTTCATGGATTATGCCTACATCTGGAGAATAAAAATCAAATAAGCAGAGAAGTGGAAAATCTACCAACAAACAGAACTGGAAGTGGTACCCTGGAGATGGGGAAAGGGTATCCTCAGACCTTGTAACAATCCTAGAACCAAATGACTTTAAACCACACAGGGGTTAGCCGGGCGAGGTGGCGCACGACTGCAATTCCAGCACTTGGGAGGATGAAGCAGGAGGATCGTTGCAAGTTCGAGACCAGCCTGTGCTACAAAGTGAGCTCAAGGCCAGCCTGAACTGTACAGTGAGACCCTGTCTCAAAAAG